AGAGTCGACGGGGTGCACTGTCCACGTGGCCATGCTAAGCTCAAATATTGATTCCATGCACTTAGTATGGAACGGATTAAGATCCAGCTACCGCCTTGTGTACGCCTTGTACTCATGATTTCCCATTTAGGCCAGAATGCTTCCGCTCTGCTTGTAGAAGGAGTGTGGGCTGGCTCCGTTGATGAAACATGGCGCACATCCACATGCTTGCCGATCTTATTCTCCAGCTTTACAATGAATACATGGAGTGTAAATGGAGTTGTGGGTGGTGCAGTGCAAGGCACCCATGGCCACTCTCTAGGCGCAGGCGTCCTGTGGCTGTCCTCGTAGAGGGCAAAGTGAGAGATGAATCCGGAACCGGATGATGCCAACCATATTTAAGCGAGTCCACATGCCAAAGATATCCGTATGTAGTTGTAGCACAAAAAGTACATCAACATTCAACCTGTAGCTATTCACGTTGATTCTAGGTTGGACAACTACAAACAGGAGATTGCAGAAAACTAGAAAAAACGTGTGATCCGAGCACCCAAGCACAAGGAATGGACGGTGTACACATTGAGTACTGTATCCAATGGTAGATATTGCACCAAACAAATCGCAAATAACATTGCTAGGGAAAGGGTTGCTTTTCAATGACAGTCGTTTTACTGAACAGTGACAATTTACCTAGCAGAGAGCACACCATGCCTTTAAGCAGTCCCGTTTTAAAGATAGCACGTGGGTTTTCACCGCTTTCCGAGCTGAATGATAATTTTGCAGACATTTCGCTGCCAGACAAGGCAACATCGTCATTGCGGATTAAAGTCCTGTTTCGCAGATCGGATAGCAGGTCGTGTGTTCTCAATTTTGCAACGATGCACTACGAACGTGGATATTGTAAATGCTTCAGTTACTAACATAGTCTTCATGAATTGCTAGATTGTTCAGTAGAGCTATTAATCCTATAACATGTAGTTGGTTAAGTTGACTAAATGCGAAGTACGTGGTATCTTTGAGATGTTTGAGAATATTCACAACTTGGAATGTGGATGTGGGCTTTGCACTGCCCTTCGAGCTGAATGATTATTTTGCAGACGTTGCGCTGCCAGACTAGGCAACATCGTCAGTGTAGTCTTAAGGCCCTGTTTCGCTGAGCCACGTAAGCGACTTCGAGGTCTATGGGCTTATTGAGCGAGTTCTAATTTAAATAACAGGTTCCAAGAAACTCAGTTGCTTGCCGGCTTGTGGCTCTTCCGAACATTTCGGCGTGCTCTAAGTCGAACTGGTGGTCTTCGGAATCCATATGCACGGACATCAAAGGGTTCTGATCATGGTGGCGGATGGCTAGTCTATGTTCATGTAGCCGTGTGCTAATCATCCTTCCTGTTTGTCTAATGTAGCATTTTTCACAGTCTCGGCAGTAGGTCTTGTTGTTTACACTATATGTTTTCCACCGGCTGTTTACCTGTCACAATGAAGAGTTTCTTTCGTATTGTTACTGTTAGTTTGCGGATGATCTTGACTCCCAAGGGCAACCGAACTCACGCTGCCATTTTAGATTCTTTGACGGCGCTGTTCAGATCGATCGATATCAACTTGGCGAAACAAAAATGTCTGCTCTATTGAAGAAACATGCAGCTGATCAGGACAAGGCGAGGAGAGTTTATGATAAGTTAATGTTGATTACAGGTGTCGCGAAGCAAAAGCAAAGATGGTCGGTGCGAATTCTGTGGCCTGATCCAGTGAGCGTTTGCCCAGCTGCAAAATATGGCATTATTGCTTGCGGAAGCGAAGCATGATGCGTACGCTGCCATTCGATTTACTAATCCAGACCAATAAGGCGGAGTATGTGGTTGGTTAGCCTCTGTGATGAGGAAGTTAGATGTTGACTGAGCTCCGGGTGTGGCGGCACCTGATGTGAAATGTTGACAAGGTGCCTACCTGTCTACTACTCTGCAACTCGATTGCTGGCTCCAGGAGGGGAGGGAGTGCACCGTCCTCGTGAAGGCGCCTGACTCAAAGAGTGGTTCCATGCGTCCTGTGTGGAAGGGGTTACGGTCCAGCCACCGCCTTGTGTACGTCTGGTGCGCATGATTTCTCATTTAGGCCGGAATGAATCCCTTTTGCTTGCTAAAGGAGTGTGGGCGGGCCCCGTGGTTAAAACGTGGCCCCCTTCCACAGGCCTCCCGGTCTTATTCCTTCGAGTTTACACCAAATACAGAGTGCACGAGTGGAACTGTGGGTTGTGCGTCGCAAGCCACCTATGGTCCCTCTTTAGGCACAGGTGTACTGTGATTGTCCCCATGGAGGCCACAGTGACAGGCAAATCCGGATACGGATGTCACTAATCGTGTATGGTGAGTCCATAGAAGCGCGTTTCACTTTAGTCTAACTTTTTAAACTTATTTACTTCACGCAGGCCATCCCAGGGAACATATCAAGCCTTAGGTGTTTGCCAGTATTACCCAATTCTTCATATCGCATGACCTCTTTCGGTTATTTGTGCATCAATATGTGTTGCGATTCATCAAATACTTCCGTAGATATCCACTGATTATGCATGCAGATTTCTTGATGCGCATCACGCTCTGGAGCATTGCAAAACTGTGCTTCAACAAGGAAATGAGTAGACGCATATCGTACTATTTCTTCCAGTTCCAGTACGATAACTGGGAAATCTTTTTATAATTATAAGTCGTATAGGGAACAAACAAACCAATCAAATTCATAGTTGTAGTCATTGGTGTTGGCATTAGGACCGCGGCAATCGCTGGTTGACATTTACTTGCTTTTGTACACATAAAGCTGGTCTAATTCGGCTTATCGCCACGGCCTCTCAAATCGCAAAAAGCGTGAATTTGAATGACTGAACGAGACCCGGAACACCGGTAAAGGATTAAGCCGGTGACAAGTCATCAAAATGTGCTTGCCTTTTGAGAACGCCGGTGGCTTCCGCGAGCACGTATCATCGGATGGGAATTGATGAACTTCGCGCTGAACCCAGTTTGCTAAGTGTTCCTTCACTCTGGAGTCCAAAGCCCGTTTGCTTCTGCCAATATACCTGATGCCGCAGTCACACACGTATTGGTAAACGCAATGTGATTCGGCGCCGACAGACTCATCTTCCTTTAATGAAGGTAAGAGCAACTTTCGGTTTCCGTTAATAGTTGCCACCTCCGCAGTAGAGTACATATGCTGAATGACCGAGAATATGCGTTTAGTTGTCCTACTTGAATGGCAGCTCAATGATAACTTTTTCTTTGGGCTGTCAACATGGTTTCTTTAGGCGGTCTAACCAGGTTATTTTTGTTTATGAAGCGCTTTGGGTAGTCATTCTCCATAAGCCTTTTATTGGTCAACTCAATCTCCTCAGTCAGGCCATCGTTGGGGCAGATACGTCTGACCCGAGTGAACATTGTTTCACCACCGCGCTTGCTTGCCATCGGCGAGAAGCTGATGATGTCTAGGGATTTGCCGGACCATGTTGGCTTCCGGCATACAGCTCGTTTAATGAACCTGTTATCAACGCGGCTCATGAGAAGGTTCAGATATGGAAGACGCCCATTTGATCCGAATTCCTAAGTCACCTTCAGATTTGCATGGAGACAATTAAATTTAGCTAATAATTGCTCGATTTCCATCTCCTTAGAACCGAAAACAAGGATCTTATCTATTTTCCTTTGTAATACGGCAACTGAGAAATCTCTCAATTTCGTTTCGTTTCAAGTATCAGCATGAAACAAACAGTCAATGCCGGGCCCAACATCAATTTGGCGATTTGTGGTGTGCTGCAATCGGAAAGCGACATTATCCGCCCAAAATAACAAGGAGTGTCTCACGAGGTCCGCCGGTATTGGTAGATTGAAATTCTCCTCTTCTATCAGGTGGCAAATGTCATCAACTGTCTCTAGTAAAGGAACATAAGTAAAAAACGACTGGACATCCACTGAGCACATGTCCTTATCGACTACTCTGATTTGGTCTGGGTCATTGATTAGTTCAAAAGAGTCCTAAATACTGTGCAAGTGCAAGAGCTGCCTCAGTGGCGTAAGAATACGAACTAACCAGCGAGTTAATTTGTGTTTTGGGGAAGTTACCAACAATAAAATGGCTTTTGGTGGCATGCTCTCATTGTGAGTCTTTGGTAACCCGTACAACTTTGGTGGTGATCCGCCGCTCGACTGTAAGTTTCTGTAGGTTGTTTCGCCAAATACACGATGTAGGAGAAAAGTGTTAAGGTGTCGGATGATATGCGCCTCTACCTCTGTCAGGCTTTCTATCCGGTCGGTTGGTTAAAACTTGCTTTTGGCACTTGGAATGTTTAGCATTTTTGCACGTAATCGCTCTTGTTCATGACAACTGCTCCTGAACCTTTGTCATGCTTTAGTACAACCGCTCCCATATTCCTCAGTTCTTGTAGTGTTTTTAAATGACGAAAACTATTCCCTATAACAGTTTTAAAATCATAATCTAAAAAGTGCTTTCCTTTGCTAATTATACTATTTTTCTGCTATTAGAATATCAGCCGACCCTAGTGCATAAATGAAGTAAGCATCAAATACAGATGACTCTGATTCGATTGACTTGTAACAGAGCATCCTCTGGTTGTTTTTCGATCAAAATTCTGCTGACTGAAGAAAATTGAATACTAACTGGCGTGCTCCAATTTATAAGTTTGTGTGCCTCAACTGAGCGCAAATCCATATTTCCGTCGCAAAACTTTGTAGAGGTTAATCGTGAAGAAACATAGGACAGAGATTAGGTACAGAATCACGTGCAGACCAACGCTAATATCGATAATCTACACTGCCTTCTGTGTCTTGAGTCTCTGAGGCATTGACTTTCTCTCGGTTTGAGCCAGCCTATCATCCACAAGTGTGTGGTTTGGGGTCAAACTGTGTTGTCAAAGTCATTGAACAGTCTATCAGATGGCGGAGAAAATAACCCAAACATAAGGCTGGAATAGAGTTGATCTGAGACAAATTGAAGAACTACGCCAGATGCCTCATTTTTCTGTTATGTGGATTAGCTCGCTAAATGTAAGTTGATGCATTATATAAATAGATTATAAATGCAGTTAGTATGTAACACGCCATATTAGTATTTGTTCGGAGTTCAGTGTTAGTTCAACCTAGGTGTACCATCCTTTTATTTTATTAACTAATGGAGTCACAATGGCTTTAACTCACCCACCACAAAACTCAATGTCTCTCTGACAGTGGAAGTTTTGGTCACTGACGCTGCACTAGATTGTGTGTACCGAGAAGCAGCTAACCTATTCCTGTTAAGGTGTGAAGAGCATCGTTTTACAAGCCACGTTGCGTGGATTGGTGCAGTTATCGAAAAAGTTGGACAAACAGTCAGTTTCATTAACGGGTAAAGTAGCATTTACCCATTTACGTTTTGCTGTCTTCGTAGCCTCAAAGATTTTGTCCACTACCAAAACAAAACCATAATGTTAACTGACAAAATATACTGGACTTCAAGTGACATTTAATCCTGTTTTAAATAGGATGATTTTTGATGCGGAACCGACCGATTTGGGAAGTGCGCTCTAGGGGAGAAACACAAGAGCTGAAAAGCAGTTGTTCCGTGCTTCTAGTCGCAATGAATGGCCTTTTAGTTTCGTGGAACTATTGCGATAAGTAAAAACGGCACATGTGATTTGAATCATGTGTTCCCATGCACGTTACTATTAGGCCATCTCGTACTCAATAGATTCGCCTACTGAACATCAAAGTATTTCAATCTCGGTTCGTATGGAAGTTTACTCCTTCTAATAACCTAGGTGTAAGCCCATCACTAAGGCTCCACTGCAGTAATATCGTGTTTATTCAACGTAAGCACCAACGTAAGTGCTCAGCATCTGTTGGGAAATAGAGACGTCGATGTGTCCAAGGCCATCTTAACAGCCCGATGTTTTAGTTTCCACCATTTGATATGTTTTCAGATTGCTCTGCACAACCTAAGTCATCCGAAGCCAGCACACCTAGGTCGCGTTGGACGGACGGTTGCTGCAGTGAATCCGTTACGTGAAATCAGGAGACGGTGTAGCCAGTGAAAGCAGTCAGAGCAACACAGTCCTGATGGGACTAGCCGAGACCGGGTCACCATTGATGATCGGTAGCGAGCCTGAGTAGAGGAGAACAGGGCACGTATTCATAGAAATTCCGGTAGATCAGACAGAGAAGCCGGTATTGAAGCATGCAGAACCGATCCAAATCAGATTGATGCAGCCACGACTGCGATAATCGCAAGCTATCGAACGAATCCTGCCCGAGCAGATGGGATAGACAGAAGCGGAGATATAGGGTGAACATTCAGCAATTATTAGGCGTCGGTAACTGGGTCGCCGAATCAATGCGTCGCGAGCCGATTCCAGGCAATGTGGTGCTTCGGAAGAAGGAAACTAATTCATACTTGTTCGTTTGCGCGAATGTTATGATCGACCGTTGTCGCATCAATAAAGATTGCGCTTTATTGCCACGTCATTCTGCTTCATTATGAGTTGGTGATCACTGCGACCCAAAGGACAGTCTTCTACCAGCAGTAAGTCATATGTCCCTTTTGCTAAATACAAGAAGCACTAGAGATAGCTTACTGCCTGTTTTTAACCGAGTAGGGGAAATTGTGACGTTGTACAGCGGAACACTAGCACTGAACTCTTGTAAATCGGACTTGAATTATCTTCTGTTCATCGTAGGTCTTCTAAACAATTCATACTGAAATCATCCTTAATTAGGATGTTATGGTAATTTCCGTTTAGAGCGCTTCTAGAGTGGCAGCTAAGCGGCAGTCCATTTTGTGTGTGGAGTTTGGGTGCGGCGCATCAAGGCTTTGAGGCAAACGTCCTGGTTACAAGCTGCACCAGCTCGAAGCTGAAGTCGGTGCATCTAATTTCCCTGTGTTCTCACACTATAGCTCACCTCAGTGGGATATTATTACCCGTCCTTCCTCTTATAAAATTATCGTTTCGGATGCATGACACACCCAATATGGAGACCTCAGCGTCCGTCATTCCATTGTGCGACCGAATCTTAGTAAAACCGATGATGCCACATCACTGGGCTAATTGACGGTGTTTCAGTCCGGCCAGTATATAAGAAAAGCTTTATGCATTAGTGTACAAAAAGATTGGCTTCTATCTGCAGGAGCCTACAGGATGCTTAAGCAGCCAAGTGTAAGAGAAAGCGACCCAGGTGAGTTAGTCCGCCACTGCTCCGAATCGTGCATTTTCGTCTCATGATTATCGCGGGAAGGAATTACTGGCCCACCATAGAGATAGTTGGTGCTTATGAGATCTTTCCTGCTGTGTCATTTCAAGTTTTTTCCGTGTGTCGCACGCCCAAATGGACATCAGGATGAGTACCCATTACACTCTATCCATGCTGCAGAGAACCTGCAGAGGTATGTTCTAGGTCGACAACGAATTCTATATTCTACTGAATCGGGTCTCGCCATAGTGCACCAAATGCGGGTGCTGAGTAACTCGTATTAGATTTTGAAATGATTTCAAACACTGGTAGGACGGGTTTGTTATTGAGTAGTTTATTGGTTCGCTGAACTTGGTTAAATGGTTTCATACGTTTCGCCACCATACGACGCGACATCGTCGGTGCGGTGATGCGCGGTGGGCAATCTCACTAGATTTGTCGGCATGGTTTTCGCATTCATTAAAATGCACTATCGATTCCATCAGCCTTCAGACAAGTAACCGCGCAATGTGATGATAGTAGACTCAGGAATACTTTTGCACAAAACAGATATGGTGCTGCTGTTAGATCCATTTTTCGTGGAGAAGCAAGGTGCTGTGGACAATGACCATTACAATCTGTCCGGTAATGCTTACTTACTGTTGGTTTTGCCATCCGGTTTAGTGGTAGCTGTAATAGCCAAGACCTTAGGAGTGGGATCCTAGTTGATAATTGCAACATTCTATGCATATGTGACCGATATCTTTGGAATTTGGGTTCAACCAATGGCCTTTTAACTGAAGCTGATAGTGTTCGGTGTTCGACTGCCCCATTCATGGTTAGGATAGAAGCTAGAAACCTTGGTTTGTATATATCCATCACGTTTCGGGTGGCGCATGATGTTCGTTATCACGTGTACCGATTGACTTTAAAAGCTCACGTTAATTTTCGCTCGATGTTCTGCTAACCTTGGGAGAGACAACAGTGATGAGGATGTTGCCACTCGTGGTTCAGGAGAAGTACCTTGTGTAATTTTCTTTCGCTTAGAAGCCAGTATTCTTTCCTGACGGTACGCGCTTGCAAAGTAGTACTCCTAGCCATTTGTAAGCAGTAGGGATATTTATTGTATATTTCTGTGAAGATTCCTTCTAGTTAGACTCAGGCAGACTACCTCCACACACCCATGAATTCGTGGCTCTGGGGACCAGCCTTGTCCTCTGCACCTTCATAACATACAAGACAGTGGAATATCAGTCGCACTAGATCGCAGTTAGATATCGGTCATGGCGGTCCGCTACGGCATCCCATGGCTTAGTGGCATAAGTCGCTGGCTCGCAAGAGTAAGGTCGTGGGTTCGAATCCGATAGGATTCAGCGGGTGCGTGCCACTGACGAGTCCCAGTAAAACGAAACGGCCGGTTAACGTTTTCTGGATGTGTGGTGGCTACCTGCCTGAGTCTAACTACGACCAGCCTTTACACAAAAAGTCTCCTAGCTTGCATCCACTGTTTGATTTGTGCTGCAAACTAGTCGCACGTCTGGACTAAGATATGTATAAATTAGACGCAAGGGATGGTCAAACAGGCTGCGTAAAGCCAAAGATGGTGTGATGAGCTGTTCCGATCCGTTACCTATTGTGTAGATAAACACATTTTGGATGCCAGCACTCAAAACTGCAGAAACAATTTACCTGTAGTATTCTCGTATTAACGAATGAACGTGGTGCAGGTTGCACGCAGAAAATGTACGAAGAACTCGAGAAAAGATTAGCTATTCTTGAAATAAAAAGCGATTTACATTTGGAGTGCTACAGTCAAGCGAACACAGAAGTAGTCGCACGGCAAGTGTACTACTCTGGGCTAAATGGCTGTGAATATGACTGACTAAGTCAGTGAGAAGAGTGAAGGGAATTAGATGTAACGTCGCAGGATTTGAACTTGGCTACACCCCCGAGGTCATGGATTCCACAGAAAAGCTTACAATGTCTAGGATCTGGTGTAAACATCCCAAGAACCAGCTGCATGCAGCGAAGCGACTTGTTTCTGTCGTATAAAGCCTATTTTGACTGACGTGATACCTTTCTCAACTCATAGCTGCCCCTTATCTGCAGCCCATTTGGCGCTGCGTTTAACTAGCTTCCACCGCTGGATATGAAAGCAATATGCGACTCAGTGGTTTACTTGATGTTCGGCCCCATTCATCCGCTGGTCGGCTGACCGCACCTGTATGTCATGCGATGTGGTTTGGAAAGTTATTGAAAGCAAACCTTACTACTAGTGCCTCCGCGCTGATCGGTGTCGTGTGGCACGCAGGCGCCCAGTAAGCAATATCACGAAGAACAGCGACGATGTTTCGGTTATCGAGTTATCCCGATGGGGCGCCGGCCGAACAACGGTATTCTGCAAAGTGCGAGTAACAACATTAAAACTTGTTGCAGCTGCACTAGGTCGGTTCGGCTGGCTTGTGTGCCATCAGAACTCCTTTCAAAAGGAGCGTAAAAAGAAATATGATGAGTTTAAAAATGTGTAGTTGAACGCTGGAGTTTCAACAATAAATTCACCACAACAACGGAGCCTTAGTATAATGTTGTAGTAATACTAACAATCCAAAAGTAAGTGTTTATTTTATCGAGCTAATAAATCTGAGTCGAATGACTGTGTGCTCAATACTGTGTGGCAAAATGGAAAGGAACAAAACTAAAAAAACATGAGCGCAAAAGCAGTGTGACTGCATGGTAGAAAAACAATAACAACAACAACTGCACACGTCAAAAATACACCAGCCATTTTGTATATCCCTGGGTGACGTACATAGGCTGAGGATAACTAATATTATGTCTTGAGAGAGAACACTTGGGTAACAAAACTGTTCTGTAGGTAGCAAATCAGCCGGAGTGTCATCAGTCTATTCATGATAGCTAAAAACAATGAGGTGGGATATTGAGGGCTGGATTTCTTTAGTAAGGGGTTAAGTTACAATACTTCGCATCCATGTTTTTACTGCTAACCGCAGCCCATTGTAACACATCGGATTTTATTTTCAGGAATCCAATTCGGACTAAACATATCTATTGTAACATCGGGTGTACTGTTTCCGGCTGGCACCTTAGACTACCGGTGAAGACTGGTAAGGATTAGTCTCAGCCTTTCTCAGACGAGCGTTGTCCACCCAACGACATTATGTAACCAGGATCAGTCGACCTTTTAAAGCAATGTAATGAAATGCTGTTTGCCAGACTCTGGTAAACATTGAAACTGCCAGAAAATCGATTTTGCTAAATAGCACTGCAGTTATCCATATGATCAGTCGAGGTCGTGGACAAATTTAATTCCACTGTGGCAGCTTCAAAACACATAAGAAGTATTTCCGGTTCTACGCATCATGATTTGTACCATAGAAGATGATCAAGCCAAGCCAGTAAGCCACATTCTAAAGGCATCTTTAAGATGGTATTTAATGTGCGCGTGTCCATGTCATGTAGGTGAGCAAAATAAAGTTCTTACATCTATGAGATGGTTCACCACCACCGTTTATTGGGTTCTGTATATCCTGTTCCTCCCCAGACTGAATTTATTTATGGACAGTGTGTGAGTGCTATAAAGCAACTGCTTAGGATTCCGTCTTATTCATTTGTATTGATGAGTCTAATCGATAGCTGGGAATTTATCGGTTTCGGAAGTTCCACTCACCATTTAGAGTGCAATTCCCACCAAATCTACAGCGTTACAAAATTTTTGCATAATTTGTTGAAGTCAATCATTTGCTTCCACATCTCTCACAACGCATTTCCGAGTTCGTTTCGAAATCTGCTTAAGACTAGCTACTACTGGGTGAGTATGCTTTATCAGCTGGTAACCGGTTGAACTCGCACTCACAGAGTAACAGATTGTGTTGCACTATCGTTTTTGTCACTGGCTTTGGTTTGAATAAGTATAGTGAAACTTCACTGCCTAAATGGAAGATATTCAAGTTCACTTGAGTCTATGCTTCAAACTGGACCAAAGCAAGTAAGTATACTTGGATAACTGAGATATGAACTGAACATTTAGAACTGTATACCTCCTGATAGAAGCATAACACATGAACCTTCGAGCGAGAATGAAGCAGTACTGCTCTAAGCACTATACCCTACCCCAATATATTCCATTGCCAAAATGATGGAATTGCTTGCAATGGTGAAACTACAGCAAGACAGTTCATTGACACTGAATGTAGGCGTATGGTGATGCTGCTTCAGGGCCTCTAACGCATTGAACTACATTATGTTAGTAATTGTGGAAACATTAATTTAACTTACTATAGTTCGATTAGGAGCATACTCACTTGCTCGTATTTAACTGGCAAATGGTAATTTCATTCTCGCAGGTCAGCTAGATGCGGCCCAATGTGTGTCACATCCTATGTTTATGTAACGCATCTTTTCACCACTGATGTTTACTTAATGAACGATACGGTCGTATAAGCACTAACGTCAAGATATTCTTGAGTACATTCTAAGTCAAAGCATTTATGGTATAATGTCAAATCACATAGTCAACCGCGGAATTAGTGTTAAAGTGAGCCTAAGCCTCGTAACCAACTTGTGATCATTACCAACCTTGCTGAAGCGGTCTGTGTAATATGACTCCGACCCCATGTATCAGTCGTTGTTACTGAAGATAGGTTTTCTTTAATCCATGCTGGCATTCTTGATGCATTTTATTCCTTTCATCTCCAGTTCTTAATCCTTGTGTCAATATCGGAGTTGTGCTGTGCTTCCAATGCACCAGGAACTAACGACACACTTCACTGCTGTATGAATTGTCGCGAGGAGGCTCGCGAATGTGCACTCAAATGCGTGCATCCCCTTTTACAAGAAACTGGATGCATGGAGGAATGTCAGTTTCATTTTAATACATGCACAAAAAATGTCTGCAACATTGTGGAGTACTTGGATCCTGTTCTAAAGCACTACGATAATGATTGCGCCTTATCCCTTGAATAACGACAAAGTACGATACAACTTTGTAGACAGTAGTCACCCATTCCCAACAAATAATGGGAAATTCTCTTTGAGAACTTTTATTACAATTCCGTTGCTTTGCTCCTTGTAGGGCAGGCAAAACCTGTATGTTTGTCCCCTATTTAAATTTTTTACGCACCATGAATTGGTTTACTTTACCGCAATAATTCAAAAGAATGGGTAAAATAATATATGAAAACGATGAAACTATTTTCTGTGTTAAGATCCCCGATTCCACAGTATGCAACTGTCGCGTATATACCCGAACGAGTTAAACTGCGCTACGACAGCTGGCTGAAAAGTGTATTCATGGCATCGTTGTTTACTTCGAAACTTCATATTGTATACAGGGCACAATAATGTTTACCAATTCGTTGATCATCTATACTTGCATTAGGGATAGTTCAGAGACCATCCGAATGAAGGGAGCTAAGTACAGAAAGAGTGTAAGCTTTTAGTAAATTATCGGTCTCTGAAACGGTTGTTTGTTTAAAGGTTCGTGGCCGTGATATCAAAGTTAGCACAACTGCAACTTCCTTTGTTGGAATGTATCAGCTGACTTCAGCTAGGATTGTGAAACATTAGAAATCAACTGCCAACGTGAGCCAACGGGTCACCGACTGGATGTTTAACTTTAGAGTGTGTGCCTTTATTCCTGCTTTAATTTGCTGTACAACTCCATCATCGTATTCACGAGGACCTATCTTGAAGTGGTGTTTGTTGTTGTACACAGTCATCAATGCAAGCACGTTTATATTACAGTTAATGTAACTGCATGGACCATTGTCACTCTTAGCTGAAGCAGGGATATTCAGAACTGCGCGATTACTTCAAACTTGTCAGAAGTACATGGTTAAGAGAAACGGACTGTTTATCAGCTTTTGCATCCGACTGTAGCAACAGCATGCTACATCAGCTTGTTGCTGAAAGCTAACAGAATTCCTCTATCCACCCTGCAACATAACACAAACAAATGTTGTCTCAGTTTAGTGGATTATGCTACACATTGTGAATTAGAGACAACGAACAATGTGTCGTTCACAAGTATTATGAGGCTGGCATTTTCTAAAGACCTACCTCAATTAAAACTAATGTATATTAATAAGGAACGCAGAAGATTAGCCTTCACCTTTTTGCTGAATATCTATCAATGCAAAATGCTTGCTATGATCATTACTCGATGTGTAAAATAAGACTCCAAAAAGAAACGAAACAGAAAATAGTTTCACATTAACGTGTGGTCTATCGAAAAGATTGAGGCTTTTTTGGATACTGTATAATCGCAAGCCTTATGTAGCCAAGTAGATAGTGTACCATCTTTATTGGTTTCAACCAAATGTGCAACCACATGGGATACATGGCTTATGAATGCTTAAGCACGTAAGCACTAGCTTTTCCCGTGTAAGTTGATTTTAAGCCCTTTATGCTGAGGAGTACCACCGCTGGACAAGGGAGTCTGTGGACTATTTATAACCAAGTACCATCACATAAATGCTCGTCATGTAGCCGTCAAAAAAATGAGCTTTACAGACTGAATTTTGCGGAAATAACGCTCAGACTAATGGTGATCGGAAGGTGTGCTAGCCAGAGGAGACAACTTCGTGGTTGTGCAACTTTGGACAAATTGTACTGGTTATTGTTTCAAATTTCGCAAACGGAGTGTAATTAGCCGAAAGAATTCATTACAAACAGCCTCCCTAGAATGTGCTTTTATACGATACACCTAACATGTATACCTCAACGGCGAGGACCACATGAGATGGAATACATGAAGCTACTTTAGCAGTTATTCAGTAGTATACTATCTAACAACAGTTGTTCTAGCATCTGTTAGGCGCAGCTTGCCCATGTTATACTATTAATACAATTTTCGAGTCATGTTAAGCCATAGCGGAATCAATTTATGCCGCAAAGTTTTCGAACTGCTGTGCACTCAAGTTGACCCATTCTACACTTCGGCTGACGTGCAGCATTTAATTGGCGTCATACGCATGAAGTTGTCTCCCTGCGTGCTTTGGGCTCCTTCACCGAACCAGATGCACTTCGCTTCCATCTAGCAAAATCTTCTGGTCCACTATGTCTGATACTAATCAAGTAGCAGAAGAAAACAACAATTTCAGATGCCACAAGATGAAGTACGGAGTTTGGGGGCTCACCAACCCAGGCGCCACGGATCTGGCGCAAGTTCGCAGAACGAACGTCCACCCATAAACACAACAGAGTGGATGAATGAAGTAGGTAAACATTCACAAACCTGCACGTGTTAACACAACCTATAGCATCTACGTCCAATAGACACTTTTCAAACTGGCAGTATCGACAAAGTGTCCACTGGTGCAACTGAATCCCATTAGCACTCACTGTCCCAGACAACTAACAACTACGAGTTCGGACGGCAGCAGATTGAACTGCTTTTTTCGGGAAAAGGTTAGACACGCTAATGTTACACCATCAGTTTTGAGAGGACTTAATAATGACGCATCAGATACTGCATCTGGGCCCCTTTCTTACGCTGAAGCCATTGCTGCACTTGCACGCACCAAGCGGCACTCGTGGACACCGCTACAAGATCGTAGTGTCGGATCGGAAATACGTAGCTCACTCTTTAAGCTTCTAGTGGTAGTGAAATATTGAAGGATTTGCCGGAAAAAGTAGTCAATGGTAATCGGAGGCGAAATTCAAGCAATTCCTAGACACCAACTTTGAAGATTGCAGTTTTAGGGAAAGCATCGCACCGGAACAGCACTTAGAGCGGCCATAATATGCTTTGAACGCGAAAGAATCTGTGACGTGCTTCCACGCACGTGCCCAACCTAAATGAGAGGGAGCAACACAGACATATATGCACCAGCTCTCAATTTTTAGTATTCAGTATTCATTTCAATGATCGACCGTAGTATCGATTGGTTTTTACATAAAGGTCGACACATGCTACGTGGTCTTTAAGCTCCCGCAGAGATGTTGACTGTTAGAAGAACAGCGATCTGAAATTCATTTTTTGTGAACGAGCTTAATAGCCATTATTTATTCCGCTTATTTTTTACTTCTTGACTGTTGTTTAAACGCACCACCGTCCTAGCCGGATTGGTACACACACGTCATTGATAATGGGCGCTCAGATCCGTGTCAACTACAGTAGTGCCTTTTGTAAGAACACATTACCTCGATTTTTCTCCGCATTACTTTACTACTTGGTTGTGTAGAGGAATATGCAACTGTCACACAAGTATTGTACTAGTGTTTTTATTTTTGAGCCTGCACTGCCTATTCCCCTTTGGTTCGTGACTTTTGTTTAAACGCTTCATTTCTTTATTCTGATTGACCAATGCCCGTCACTGTAAACGGATGTCCGCTTTACGCTGGGGGTCACCTGATGCTATTTTTAAGGGCACATGCCATTCGCTCTTGATTACACGGTTGCTTATTCGCCTGTTGCTTGTAACGTCTTCCTTTTGTTGGTTGGCTCAAGTGTAATTTAGTAGGTTCCCTTCATTTTGCCTTCAAAACTATATAAGCAAATGTGCTTTCATGTATACAAGTCACTTTCTGGCTCCTCTTTGAACTTCTTCTTGCGGTCGTAAGTGCAAGGCGGCAGTTGCAACACAAAATTGGCTGAGATAAGCACTATCCCACTGTTCTAATGTCGTGAGTGGCTGAATTATCGTTCTCTACCGTAAGTGCAATCGAGCTGACGGACTTCGGTTTCCACAAAAATGATGGGGGTGAATAGTGTATGATCAGTGTGATTTTAATTGTCACTAAGTTACTTGTCTCCGTCGTCCACCATAGACCGTCTGACACCCGTGAAAATCAGAATCGCGGGAAGCAAACCAGGTTTCATCAAAATCGCAGCTATATTAACCACATCACCAATTTGCGCAGCTTGTTGAAACTCCGCCGTGTTTATTGGCGACCCATTGTAATCTTGTTCCATGACATCAAAGGAAGCTTCGATTTGGTACATCTATGTCCCTTGAGAATGTATACTCACTCGACGTGTACCACATAAATAGATGAACGTCATGAGAGTGTTGCAATCCCTTGGTTCGGGTAGAGAGAGGGTTTAAGGCAAGCTGGCACTGTTGTTCAATATCCCCAGCTGCTAACTGTCACCTTTCCTTGTTAACCTCCGGGTCGCAGAACGCATGAAGACTGCGTTTACTGGACTCGAACTACAAGGGGTACAGCTGTTCCCAGCTGATAAACTTCTTGGCGTGGGGTGTGATGGCTACATTACCCTAATCTACAACAGCATCCAAAGGTTAACACTAACTGTCAATCTTTTGGGTTATGCTTTGCGCCTTTGAAATGCAAAGACCCACTACTGCGCTGACCCTTGTTGGTGATCGGCTAAAAGTAGTCGTGGAATTTAACTACATAGGCAGCTGCATTTGCTTCTATGAGATCGAAGATGAAGTCACAGACGATATAACAAAAGCTTGAGGCGCTTTTGCTAACTTTCTTCACCCATGATGTCTGCTCGAGGTCCCTCTCTACATGAAGTGCAGATTTTACAAGGTAATTTAGTCCGACCCTACTATACGGTTTTGAAACTCAGGCCATCAAGTCGATAAACATTAAGGGGCTAGTTATATTCGAGCGCCGGTGCCTTCGCAGTTTGGCTCATATCTGGTGAGAACAATATGTGCGCAATCAGCGTATTCGGCGTACCGTATTTGGTGCAGGAAGAGCGAGTGAACGGCAACACACCGTTATTGCACACACACACACACACACACACACACACACACACACACACACACACACACACACACACAGGCCTCCGATAACTGAGTCACGTGTTGCGCATGTCAGCAAAACGACTACCGCGACATGCGTTGTTTGTACGCCGGGAGTTGTGGATGGGAATAAAGCAGGGGAGGCCGAGCAACAGATTAATCAGGAGCAAAGATGGTCTATACTTGGAATTTGGCGTCGGTTAGTGCCTCACAATTACCGGAATGGGTCCCCAAAGACGATGCACACGTGCGAAGGTAAACACTATTTGCCATGGTAAAGAGCCCAATTTAATGGCATTTGCGTTGGGAGTTTATTTGTCCCTATTATTCCCGCCTATCTTCCTCCTACAAAATCAAGATATCACATCACAAACATCACCTGATACTTAATACTAAACTCTCATTCGTTCACATTGGATAGATTCTATCCCATCATGTATGGATTTCGCTTTGTGCACACATTATGTATTGCATCACAATGGCTGAGTTGCGTTTAGCAAACTCAGCTAACGAGTAAATATGACGATGAAGATTACGATGTTAGTGCTGATCATGATAATGAGGACGATGAAGAGGAGGAAGCGGCGGAGGATGAAGACGAGGATGAAAATGAAGATAAGCATGAGGATGAGCAGGACGATGAGGATGATGATGATGATGATGATGAGATGAATGATGATGATGATGATGATGATGATGATGATGATGATGATGATGATGATGATGATGATGATGATGATGATGATGATGATGATGATGATGATGATGATGATGATGATGATGATGATGATGATGATGATGATGATGATGATGATGATGATGATGATGATGATGATGATGATGATGATGATGATGATGATGATGATGATGATGATGATGATGATGATGATGATGATGATGATGATGATGATGATGATGATGATGATGATGATGATGATGATGATGATGATGATGATGATGATGATGATGATGATGATGATGATGATGATGATGATGATGATGATGATGATGATGATGATGATGATGATGATGATGATGATGATGATGATGATGATGATGATGATGATGATGATGATGATGATGATGATGATGATGATGATGATGATGTTGAAGATGATGATGATGATGATGATG